AGTCAATAAAACTTATGTAGTCTACAATTGTTCCCTTTCTGCTAACCTTATTATTTGGCAATGCAAAACTGAGGCCTTTCGAAAGAATCTTCTTCATAGTACCGTCAAATTGTTTTTTGAAATGTTTCCTATTTTATAGCCTATTCGGACTTGTTCCTAATTCTAAGTTTCTTATGTGGTCGGGTAGCTCCTTATCATACTTCGTATACTTAGTTTTCTGAGTTTTTTTTTACCATGTTTAGTACTTGTCTGTTAAAATACTCTATCATCTAATATATCAGTCATTGTGTGTAATTCATAGGTGTCCTCTAATCTAATTCCCTGTTAATGTACCGAATTAATTCAAACTCCAGTTTTGCTACTTTACCATGCGTAATCTTCTTTATTTGCCTTCTAAATCTTATATTTCATTAATTATATTGAGTTATACTGAATCTCACTCAAACCCCTTCGTTTACTCTATTTCTCATTTCTCTTGTCCCCACTTTTAAACTATTTCTTGTTTATACCTTCCATATCCACGTTTATTACTTAATAGACTTTCTCTCAGACATTGTGTCTTACTTGTATCCACAATTTTTCTATCCTCCTCTCTCCGATCCCAAACCTGTGGATTTCTATTCACATTGGCTTTCCCTTTTTCAGTGCTGGCTATCGAAGCGCGTTTTTGAATTAGACACCTGGCTGCATCAACAACGTTTGGGGACGATCGACGTGCCGCATTGCTACCAGCAGCCAGACGTAAATAATCGTCACCGCCTTTCTAGACAGCCCATTATCCCTACTGGTGGAACGTCGGCGGGTCGTAGCCATGGCGCTTCCATCACCGGCGTCTCTTGTGGCCCCACGTCTGCAGACACAGGCCCCTTTGCCACTCGTGCAGTCGAAATGACACGTTTAGCAGACGCTTGTCTCCTGATGGTCTATTTGGATGTCCGTGTGACAGCCTTCAACTATTTTGGTACACTGCCTAAGAATACTAATTACTGGTGCCATATTGATGATGCCCAAATAGACCCTTTCGTTGCTGACTTCCTTCGCTACTTGGACCAGATCAAGGACCTGCTAATTCATGCTTTGTCTCGTAGCAAATTTAGGTTAGCAAGAATGGTATAATTATTGCTAAGGGGGATAGTTTTATATTGTCATACCTCTATTATAATAACATTATATAGTTTTAGCCATCACAAATGAAGATAATTAACTTTTTTAAAATCAATTTGGGAAGTATATCACTGCTCTCTTTATAACTTCAAGTACTTAAGCTGTGGTACAATCAAAACTCCATTGATGATTAGTACAATGGAATCTGTCCTAGGTCCTATACATATTATATAAAACCAAAAGATGTAGAGGTTCTATAGGGATCAGTTGTAGCTAGCTAGGTGTCTATTTTATAGAAGCTATTGATATGCGTGAAAGTTTTTTAAGGATGGATTGACAGTAGAATGATCACAGAAAACGGTCAGCCAAAACAGCATGATTAAGTCTTGTAAACATGCCGAATAAATGGCTTGAGAGCATGCTATTAAGAGCCGTAAAGCGGAGATATGGCTTTGACTTGAGCTCTGTCCC